GATGGAGTCATCATTCATCGAGCACATACACCACAAAATCAGCCTATAATGTAATATCATGTGACACAAGGGAGTTGAATCAAATGAAGTATAGTATGATATGGAACAAAAATGTACCTTTGAAAGTTGCTGCCTTCATTTGGAAATTTCTCCAAAACAGAGTTCCCATAGGTGACAATTTATTAAAAAGAGGTATTGCTGGAGCCGAAGCTGATTTCCCATGCATATTCTGTGGACACAACCAAGAATCTGTCAGCCACTTGTTCTTCACGTGTGAGACAAGCTGGAAAGTTTGGCAAGCTTGCAATGTGTGGTGGGGTTTTAAAGCGATCCTAACAAACGAAGGCATGGGCCACTTACAACAGCATACAGGTATGAGCTCAAATGGCAAAATTAAATCAGCATGAAACACAATTTGGTTTACGGTGATGTGGTCTATTTGGTTATGGAGAAACAAATTGATTTTTAAAGAAGGGTCTGATTCTTTTGATGACATTATGAACTTAATTAAGTTAAGATCTTCTGATTGGTTAAGGGTTAAATTTGACAAGGAGCTATCAAAAGACCTTTGGCTTACAAATCCCATAAAAGCATGCCAAAGCAAACCTACTACATTAAGATAGATTGTATGATGTTTTGAGGTAGAGTCCACCATGTTTTCCAAGAGTCTCATTTAAAATGATGTAAGGGTTTGAGTGCCCCTTGTACTCTTTTTGCTTTTATAAATATATTACTTCTTTTGGCTGAAAAAAAAAAAGAAGGTATGTTTCCTATTGGGAAGGGAGTCCGAAGAACTCTTCCTGTGCCGAGTTCTCGAGCCCCATTGGTGACCATTTTCTCGAACTATTTTCCTAAACTAATGGTCCTAGTGATTTTAAGCGGTTTAATTACCTAAACGGTTTTCAATATTAATCCAAATTGTTTATGCTATTGGGTATCTGTTCTACCAGTTCAACCGTCTAATTTGGTTCAATTTTTCAAATATTACATAATTTTTGTAATATTATAATTATATTATTATTATATTTAAACATTATAATTATAATATCATCATATTTAAACGATAATTTAAAAAGAAAAAAAAACCATTATATAATTCTCGTTGAGTGGTACACCTGATTGGAAAATTTTCACTTGCGATCCATATGCAAACATTATTTACAATTATATGCACAGTCAATTCGTGAAGGGTATCATGTAATTTGCCCAACAAAACAAAATAATCTATGCTTTCTAATTTTTAAAACCTGACTTGATAATCGATATGTTTTGATCACTAGGTCTAGTGTAATTGGTTGGAATGATTAAATTGATTGGTTCAATTGGTTGATTTGATAAATATTATTACATTTATTTTATTAATTATAAGTTATTTTTATTTTAATTAATTTTATTTTTAAATTAATTGAAATGATTTTTACATTCATTAATGAAAGCTTTTATTACTACCTCCATTCACCTTTAGTAGTTCTACTTTAATGTTTTAACTTTTAGATATGAATTTTAAATAAAAATTTAACATATTATATAGATAATAATTAAAATTTTTTTATTAAATAAAAATATTTAACAAAAATTATATTTAAAAATTATTTCAATTATTATTCATATAAATTACTAAATTTTCTATAACATAACGAATCATTGTAGATAGGACAACGATACGTACACCCATGAATCGGCACTCATTTTTACACTCAAATTGGTTTAAACAGTAAAATTACAAATTTACCCTTCCCACTAAATCTATTTCCCAACAACCAAATCCCAGCAAAATTCAAGCACATTCAACAAAACTCAAGCATTCAAGCACATTCAACAACCAAATCC